GCGTGGGATTGCAACCGATGATGCCGATAAAGCAAACTAGGCGGCGGAAGTTGCCAGCTGATGCAGCGGCTTCCATCTCATCAGCTCGTTTTTACCACAAGGATTTACCATCCGAGCGAAGGCTTGCTTTCAACTGTTGCGTAATGGACCGACGGTGTTCGTTGTGCTCTGCGCCAGCAGGCACCGCCCGTCGGCGATCCAGTAATTCCAAGTCTCTTCTCGAGATCCAGTCTTTGGAAGTGGAGCGATCGAGGCCACAGCTGGACAAACTGCCGACAGCATGACTTGTTGCAGACTTGACCAGTGTTGATCAACATCCAGAGTGTGAATGAGAGAGAGCTTTTCACGAAGCCTTTGTTGATACTACATCTTCACCATTGGGTCCTCCAACTTCTAGGTGTTCAGTCGGGTGTGTTTGGATCTAGGTGAACCATCGGAACGCATGCAAACGGTCGCACATACCAGTGCATGATCAATGTCGACGCATCTTGACCAAACTGATAGGCAGTCGCGCACGCTATAGCGCTACCTGCGACTTATGGCTATGGGGTCAATCTTTGACCAGCGCTGGGTTGATGATCGGGGGTGCCAAGTGGCGTGCCGGCGTCCAGGATGACGGAAGCTCGTGCTGGAGAGAAAAAGCTGATGATTAGCACATAGACTGAGCATTCTCACTCCGTTCTCTGAACGAACACCACCATATCCATGCGGTCCCCCGAGGTGGCGTTCGCATGGCAGCAGCCAACCGACACGTGCGTTTAGTTTTCCTGCCAAAACAATGATGTTTGTTTTAGGAGCCTTTAGGAGCAGCTCATGAAGGTTCTGGTAGAACTAGTCCTTGACTGTATGAGAGCTACAGTCATTGAGCGCGTAGGCAGAGACCACGAAGAGAGCACAGTCTTCGACTCAATGTCTGCTAACTTTACAAGAGCCATGGAGCCTCATCGCACAAAAGCGCCTATTGATCGGAATCCAGTTAATCCGAACATCCTCGGCTCTGGCAC